GCTGCTATGAACTGGAGATAATGCTGATGGGGGTTCCTTGAACTCACTTCAGATGCACTGGTATAAATGAGAACAGGACGGATAAGCGTTGGCAGCCACTGTTCAGGTGGGTTTAGATCCTATGTCACCTTGTACTATAAAATGTATATGCCAGTGGGTCTCCACCAAGAGGCTGCAGAACCCTGGGGCACCTCAAGGTCCTCTCGAGGGTGGTGCAGGGTGCCACACAAGTGATCTTTAGGCAAAGGGTCTATTGCCTGAATTAGCACTGAGTAGCTGGCCCCGGAAGGGTGACCCCAGAAGAGTAAATCTAAAGCTTAGGAGAGATAAGAACAGCTCATACTAGGGTAGATGAAATGGCAGGAAGACACCAAAAGGGAAGAGACGAAAAGGAAATGACTTTGCACTGCAGTGATCCCTGATGCTGATTTTTATTTTTGCCTGGGGGGAAGGGGCTCTAAGATGATGGACATCTGGAAATAGACAGATAAAGTTCTTTGGGTAAATCCAGTATCTTTTACTAGACCAACTCAAATCATTATTGTTAGACCCCGACTCCATTTGGCGCCCAACAACTAGGGAGGCGACGATCCAATTGCCCAGGGATCCTGTTACTCATCAGCCAGACCAAGCAGGGAGCAAACACCTGCACACATTGCTCACAACAGCTTTATTCAGAATGGAGACGGCTTTGGGCCAGGTCCTAAAAAATAACACACCAGGGACCTGCATTGAACATTAGTTCTTTTCACATTTTATACAGCTTGGTTCATACATATTAACATTCACCCCGCCTATGTCCCTCCTTCAGTTCCACCCATTTCTCCTCCCATCTCAAGCTCCACCTCTGTTTACTGTTTGCTTCCTTAGCGTGGTATTGCCTATGCATATTATTAATTTACATAACTCTCTGCTAAGAGCGCACGCTCAAAACTTTGACCTCAGTCTTTTGTGGTTTCTTGCTAGTTCTTTTTAGTTTCTTGCTGAATTCCGCACCATCTCCAAGGCCTTACTTCTGCTTTATTTCCTGACACTGACTGGTGGGCTGCATCCTATTTGTATACAACACATCATGCGCTTTGCACCCTATCCTTTTGTTAAGAATCTGCTTACTTAAGCATTAGTGAAGTCAGTTGCTTTTAATGTATCATCCAGCCTTGTGACTAGCAGCTTTTGCTGAGGTTACTTTTAATATATTATCTAGCCTTGTGACTAGCGACTTTTGCTGAGACACAGGAAAAAGCCTTTATTCAGCTGCACACCCAGTACTCCCCAAAATGCATACATTGCTGTAACAGTTATGTCCTCAGACCAGGGGTTGTCAACCGGGGGTACGCATACCCCTGGGGGTATTTTGAAAGGTCCCAGCGGGTAGGTGGGGATGGGCAGGGATGGAGTGCCACCACCCTGCGCCACTGCCTCTCAGGAGCAGGGCTGGAGAGCATGGTCACACAGATGCCACTGCAGCTCGCCATCCCCCCGTCCTGCTCCGTGTCCACCCTCAGGGTACTCTTATTAAAAAAGGTTGAAAACCCCTGCCTTAGACCAACACACCTACAACCTACACCCCTGGGACGTATGGCAAGTTTTAGGTATCCAGGTTGTAGCCGTATGGGTTTTAAGGCACAAAGGACCAGGACTTGTGGTGGGGTGATATCTTTTATCTGCCCAACTAGATTTTTGCACCAAAAAAAAAAAAAGAAAATTATTGAATCGCAAGCTTTCGGGCACAAGCACCCTTCTTCAGGCATAGGAGAAAAGGCTGTCAAAGGGAAAGCTGGACACACTTCAGGCGCCAGCCCTCTTCCTGAGGGGCCCCGATGGGCCCCACCCCTCTGCCAATGCGGCTCCTCCCACAACCGGCGGTGGTTGCAGGT